ATGTTTGGTCCTTTATTTACTTCCAGCACATATCAAAGGAGGAAAAATTTAAAAGGAAAAACTAAAGCAGTGAGCCTGCAGCCCAGCTGTTCCGACCCCTCCCCGCCCACCCCTGGCATCTGGTCTAGGGGAGCCAGCTGGGGTCCCCAAGGCACCCTCAGGCCCCAGAGGCGGGGGCGGATCAGTGGTGTGGGCGGGAATCTGACCATTGGTCTGGGTCGAAGCTTCCAGCATTTCTCTGCTCTGGGCCCCACTCCCTGGACCGGGAGGGCTCCTTCGCCCACCACCTGCTGGCAGAGGGGACCCACTAGAGCCAAAGCAGCGAGAAGATGAGGGGTGGACGAATGCAAAGCGCGCTAGGTGGGCGCGCAATTGTGGAATGGGGCGAGACTCCTTGGCAGGGCCCCTCCCAAGCCAGTGTCCCGTGGCGCCCAGCGCATCTGTGCTGGCAACTGGCAGTGACTTGGACGTGACTGCGGGTCTCCGGGTCTGGGGGCAGGGTAGGGTGGCGGCGGTGCAGAACTTGGGGGAGGGGAGGTCGCATCCCCGGAACTTTCCCCTGGAAAATCCGGTTTCGTCCTCGGTCCTCGGTTCTCCAGCGCCTGCAAACAGGTTGCAGAGACGTGACTTATTCTCTCCCCCTCACTCTTTCTCCACGTCGCCTCCAGGGGCAAACGGTACCCCCAAAAAAGCTGATTCTGGGAAATGCTGGCGTCTCCCCTTGCACCGCCTTGCCCCAACAGACGCCAAAAAAAGGAGCAGGACTGGGAATCCGCTCGAGAGCGCTCGGAAATCGCAGGTACTGGGACAGTTCAGGTATTCACTAAGTGTGCAAGCACACGCTGGGTTTCCTTCTCTGCCACTTTTCGGACCCAGTGCCCTGGCACGCGGAGCTCAGCCACTCCCTAGGGCGCGTCAAAGTCTGTTTGACTCTGTGACCTTGTGCCTTAGCTGTTCCAGGAGCAAGTGATGGAAATCTCCAAACGTTGGTGGGACAAAGTTTGACAAGTTAAGGTGCTTCTAAAAGATAATGCTGCACCTTTGAAATGAAACATTTCTGGGTTCTTCTGGCTGAAAAAAAAAAAAACAAAAAAAATTGGAGGGGGGGACTTAGTGACTCAGGCCATATCGTTCTCTGGGCAGCCAAACGTCCAGCCGTAAAGTGTTGCCTACTTGGATCCTGGGGTGGCCCATAATTCCAGGCTTACTTGTCTCTGATTTTGTGGATAAAGACAAAAGGAAACGCAAGGGGAGTCCCTACTGTCCTACAGAAAGTAGGAGTGTGGTGTGTGTGTGTGTGTGTGAGAGAGAGAGAGAGAGAGAGAGAGAGAGAGAGAGAGAGAGAGAGAGAGAGAGAGAGAGAGAGAGACCAAATGATGCTCAGGCATTATTCCTGGCTCTGCACTCAAGAATTATTCCTGGTGATGCTCAAGGGACCATATGGGATCTAACCTGGGCAGTTGAGTGCGAGGCAAACGCCCTACTCTTCCTCACTGAACTATCACTCTGCCCTGAAAGTAGAATTTCAAACTAGGAGGATGCACTTCTCAAACAATAAATTTTTGCTTCCCTTGCTCTGGCCCTAAGCTTCTCTCTGTACTGTGTAGATCAGATCATGGAGGTAACCATATTGGAAAGCAGAGTTTGGAAGATGAACAGAAAGGAAAGGCCACTCTACTTCTGTGTTGGGAGGTTGGTTTTGTTTTGCTTTGCCTTTTGATTTGAAGTTAGGCTCCAGACAACCTGGCTTGGTTGAGTTTTAAGAAAGTTTTATTCCTTGGGGTCAGAGAGATAGTACAGGGGGGGCAAGGGTCTACCCTTGCAAGTGTTTGAACCCCAGCACTTCTGAGCACAGAGCCAGAAACAAGACCTGAGCACTGCTGGGTGTGGCCCTATACTCCCTCCCCCCACCGCCACACCCCACAAAAGATCAATTTTAGCTCTGTAGATCCACTGGTGCCCCAGGCCTGGAGAGTTTAACTGCTGTTTAGGCATTTTGATTTATGGATCTCTGTGACCCATTTTCCATTTGCCCCTAAATATATTTCTCACTTCTTGTCATCAAATTTGCTTTACAATGAGTCTTGTCCTTTTCATGACAACATAAAAACCCTATCGGTTTCATTGGAGCCTTGATAATACCATTAAAAAGAGATAAGCACTTCATTAAAGGGAGACCCTGTCGCTTTCACCTTACAGATGAGAAAATCAAGCATAGATAAACACGAGACACTAAAAGGATCACACTAATTATGAACAGCAGTTGGCACAGAATTCAGGCCTATTCTCACACTTGGCTGAGGGTAACTGTATAAGACCACTCCCACCCCCAACTGTCACATAGGAAAACTGAGGGCAATGCAGAATTAAAAACCACTTGGATAGGGATGGAGAGATACCACAAGTGGTAAGGTGCTTGTATGGCATGTAGGACAAGGGTTTAACTCCCAGTACCACATATGGTTTCCCGAGTCCTACGAGGAGTGACCCCTGAGTGCAGCTGGATGTGACTCCAAAACAAAAAACAAAAATGATCTGGGTAATCTTAAGACAGGCAAGCTATTTTTTTTAAAAACAAGCCTGGCTCACAGTCTGGATTTATACTTTATCCTAATCTTGTGTCTTAATTATAACTTGTTCTTATAGTCCCTTGAAAGCTAATATGACCTTTTAGGAAAGACTAATAAAAGCCTGCAGTGAGACCTTACCTAAGTTTCCCATTTCAGACCTTTTCACAAGTGTGAAAGAGTAAAAAAATCCCTTTTGACATCCTAGTGAAGAATTAGCAGGATGTGAAAGAACACATGGGAAAGAACAACTCCCAGACTGGTAACCCGACAGAAGGACTTCAGCCCCAAGGATTAAGTACAGCTACATGAGGACTAACATTAGGAATAGTATGAATGTTTGATGTGGACATGCCACATCCACCTACTTAAAGGCACCCTACTTAAGCCTTTTGCCAGGGGACCTGAGTAGATAGGGCATTTGCCACACATGTAGCCAACCTGGTTAGATCCCTGGCACCTCATACGGTCACCCCCGTCCCCCAGAGCACTGCCAAGAGTGATCCCTGAGAGCAGAGCCAAGATTAACCCCTGAGCACTGCCACGTATGGTCCCCCAAACAAAACTGTGAGTGCAGGAAGAGTAGAGAGGGTTTTTTTTGTTTTGTTTTGTTTATAAGAGCAAGGGCAGGGAGCAGAGGGCAGTTGTCAGGGTCAACCCCAAGCTTGGTCCTGAGTACATAGATCCCTGTAGTCATTTCACTTTGCTGTCTAAAGACACTCTCTACAGACTTTTAATGGGGAAGGATAGAGTGCTGAAGAGTTCTAGAGCAGAAGGTACTCTGCAATGTAGACACCTAGTAGGGTGTAAAAGCGAACTTTCCATTTGGCCTTTCTGAAGTAGGCCTGAAAATGGTCTCAGGCCTCTAGTAAGGAAAGAACGCTGGCATCCTAGTGATGGGTTAGCTATACTGGGATGGATTTTTGCTTTTCGGTTCCTTCCTTCCTTCCTTCCTTCCTTCCTTCCTTCCTTCCTTCCTTCCCTTCTTTCTTCCTCTTTCCTTTTTTCCCACTTAAGCCTGTTGCCAGTGGGCCCGAGTAGATAGGGCATTTGCCCCTCATGCAGCCAACCTGGTTGGATCCCCGGCACCTGCTATGGTCACCCCCCACCCCAAAGCACTGCCAAGAATGATCCCCTTCTTTCCTTTTTGTTAATAATCGCTTCAGATTTTCCACACTGTCTTCTGACACTGAAGTTCAAATGAGCATATAGTCCATAAATCAATGCAAGTGATTTGCCATCTCTCTTTTCCTCTATTCATTTGTCTCTTTTATTTCTTTGGGAAGGGGAGCAGACTCGGAGATGTTCAGGGCTCATTCTTGGCTCTACATTCAGGGACCAACCCTGGCAGGGCTCAGGGGACCATATAGGGTGCTGGGGATAGACCTGGTTAGCCATACGCAAGGCAAGGGTCTTAGCCAGGATACTACCACTCCAGCCTCCTTTTGATTCTTTTGAGGGACTCAATGAAAATGGATAGCATCTATTTATTCAAAGGGTAGCCCTTCGCTACACAGATATTTTAAAATATTTTCCAAGTAATTGCTCTGATGAAAATAGTCATTTATTGTCAAAGCATCCAACATACCCGGATAATCTATAAAGTTTAATAAATCTTTCCAGGGATAAAAGAAACACATAACTATTCAGACTCCATTTCACGGGCACAAAATTACACTTTGTATTAAAAGGAAATACATATTTACATAATGATGACATTCTTCATTGAAGTCCATAATCATTTCATGATACATGCACTTCTCCCTGGAAACTTAAACGGAAACGGCGACCCTTTTTTATTTGTTTTCTTTTTTGTAAGAACGCAAACTGTCCTCAAGAAATGCAGAAAGCATCTCACCCTCCTTTATATCTAAAATAAATTTTGCCCTTACATATAATTATTACATCTAAACCGTAAGTGCTTAATAATTTAAGTAGAAACGTATGACAAATGCATCAATATGCTGCAATATATGACATTTTAAAAAATGTACTTTTGTCTTTTTTTGGGAAAGTGAAAATGCGTGCATTCGAAAACAAAAACCAAAAAAAAAGCAAAAAGAAAAATGCCTCAAACAACCCACCTAATCTAAAATCCACCAGCCTGTCGTGTGTGTGCGTGCGTGCCTGCGCGTGTGTATGTGTGCGTGTGTGTGCGTCCACGTGTGCATGTGTGTGTGCGTGTGTACCTGCGCGGGTGTATGTGTCTATGTCTGTGTGTATGCGTGCGTATGTGTGTGGTGCATGTGTGCATGTGTGCTCGTGTGCGTGTGCATGTGTGTGTGTGCATGTGTGCGCGCGTGTGCGTCTGCACGCGGTTCAGGTCACAGGGAGGCGGTGGGCGTCCTCGCGTGTCCGTTCCTGCAGGTGGCTGGGCGGGGCGGTGCAGGGGGCGGCGGCGGCGGGGAACAGAGCGGGGGAGGGAGGGAGGGGGTCCCCCTCCGACGTCAGTTATGCGAGGTCATGTGCCGGGACAGGTGGTGGCGCTCCCTGAAGGACTCGTTGCAGATGGGGCACTTGAGTTTCTCCTCCCGCCGCCGCTTCACCAGGGGCTCCATGGCATACTCCTTTTTGTGGTGCGAGCGCATGTGGTACACCAGGTCGGACGTCATGCGGAACGAGGCGTTGCACTTGGCGCACCAGTTCTGCGCGGGCAGACACAGCGACGTGAAGGAGGGCGGCAGCAGGGTGAGCGCCGACGGCAGCTGCAGCTGCAGGGGTCCCGCGGCCGCCGCGGCCGCCGCCGCCGCCGCGGCCGCCGAGCTCTTGGGCCAGAAGGCGGTGGCGTAGAGGAAGGGGCTCTGCTTGGGCAGCCCCCCGCAGCCCGCGCCCAGCTCGGCCGCGCCCTGCAGCTTCACGGCCAGCGGGTCGCCCGCCGCGGCGGCCGCGGCCGCGGCGGCCGCGGCGGCGGCGGCGGTGGCGGGGTAGAGTCTGGCGGGTCCCACGCCGTCGGGGGGGTGGCAGGGCTCCAGCGCGCCCAGCTTCTGGCCCAGCACCAGCGGCGGCAGCTGCGCGAAGGAGCGCGCGGGCTGCGAGAAGGCGCTTTTGCGCTCGTCCGACGCCGCCGCCGCCGCCGCCGCCGCGCCGGGCCCGGTGCCCGCCGCGCCCCCGGGGGCGCCCGCCGCGCCCGCCGCGCCGCCCAGCTGCGGCACCGACGTGAAGGCGCTGCCCCGCGCCGGGCTGCCGCCCTCCAGCCGGCCGGCCAGCGGGGCCCCGGGTCGCGGCGACGCTGCCACCGGCGTGGACGAGCCGCCCCCGCCCCCGCCGCCAGCATCCTGCTCGTCGGCGCCCCCGCCGTCGGCCGCCGCCGCCGCCGCCTCCTCCTGCAAGCCCGCCGCGCGCGCCGCCGCCGCCGCCTTCTTCACCTCCACGAAGGCGCTGCGCTTGGCCTCGCCCGTCTCGGGGCTGGGCGGCGCGAACAGGCGGCCGCCGTCGTCCAGGCCGAAGTAGCTGCCCGGCGCGCGGTACTGCTGCTGCGGCGTGCACACCAGGTCCTCCTTGGGCACGGGCAGCGGCCGCTCGGAGAAGCGGCTCCGGCCCGCCGCCAGCCCCGCGCCCCCGCCGCCGCCGTCGGCCGCCTCGTCCGGGAATTTCCTCTTCCCCTTGGCACCGCCCGCGGCGTGGCCGTCGGGGCTCAGCTCCGCCTCCTGGTGGCCGCCGCCGCCGCCGCCGCCGCCGCCGCCGCCGAGGCCCCGGCCCGGGGAGCAGCTGCGGCCGCCCCCGGAGTTCTCCAGCTCCCGCGCCAGATTGTGGAAATCCGTGGAGGGTTTAGCGCCGCCGCCACCGCCGCCGCCGCCGACGGGAGGCGGGTTGGTACCCTCGGGGGAGGGCGCCGGGTAGTGGTGGATGGGGCCGGCTTTGCTGCAGGCGAACTTGGGGCCCGGGCCCAGGGACGCGTCTTGTCGCGGTGGCGGAGGGTCTTTGGCACCAACGCCGACTCCGCCGCCGCCCCCGTGGTCCTTGGTGCCCACGCCCACGCCGCCGCCGCCGCCGCCGCCTTGCTCGTCCGGGGGGCTCAGATCGGCGCTGTGCAGCCTCTTGGGGCAACGGAAGCGCAGATGCGCCGCGTAGGGGAACTCGAACTGGAAGCGTTGGCTGCATTCCAGGCAGGTGTAAGGGGACGACCCCGCTGCGGTGAGCAAACACACACACACACACACACACACACACACACACACACACACACACACACACCACGTGGTGGTTAACATCGCACCGTCTGCAGTCCGCTTTGCCAACGCCCCCTTCTCCAATCCACCTCCGTTTCCCCAGGTCCCCATCACACCCGAGTCAAAAACACCCGGGGGAGAGGCCGGAGAGGCCGGATCCAACTTTTTTTCTCTTGAATTTGGGGGGGGGGGGGGGGCTGGGGGGAGTGCAAACACGGAGCCAAGTGTCCCTCCCACCCCCGTTTCTGCCAAGCTCCGTTCTGTATAGCGCCCGGATGCAGAGTGAGACCCACCCCACACCCCCCAAGGGGAGCAAGGAGTAAGTCCCTGCCCCCCGCCCCGCCCAGCTCCTAGCAACCCCCCGCCCGCTGCGCAGGGCTCCAGCCAACCTACCATTCATCTTGCTGTGGGACCGAGAGGGGCAGAGCAAGAGTAACTCAGTCAGTTCTTTCCCGTACCAAACTAGTAACTCCTCGTCTTTGGCAATCCTGCGGAGAGAGCGGTAAAACAGCTGTCCGTTTTTGATATAGGCTTCAAGGTTCTGCTCCTCTTTATCTCGGGCGGACTGGACCAGCCGCAGCCACATGAGACCTTCTGAGGAACCGTTGGCCGCAGAGGTGTCTACCTACAGCGGAAGAAGAGAAGATACGAGAAGGAAGGTGGAGGGGAGACCAAAGACTTAGCTGTGGCCAAGCTTGCACACACTTGACCCAAGCTGCCCCCTACGCTCACGTTTGTAACCCGCAGGTCTGATTACTGCCCTGCGGATCTTGCATCTCGCTGGTCACTGGGGTGGATTTAAATCGCCCTTTATATATATATATATTTATATATATATATATATATATATTAGCGCAATATGTTTCCAGACCGAGGGCTTTCCTTCTTAGGACTCAAACTAGTGTTAAACCCTTGAAGATCCCACCTTACGAGCCTGTGGGAGGGAATTTTGCTCTTTGGGGAAACTGTAAGTAAGCTCAGTGCTTACCAACAATTCTGTGGCCTCGCCTTCCTGATTGTGGCTTGAACCATCAATGGTTATTTCTTTATAAAGAAAGACTAATAGGGAAACTTAAATTTCTATCTTCAGACACACAGAATAATGCTGCATTAAAAAAAAGCATGAAAATTTTGAATTTAAATTCCAAGCACTGGTCGCTCATGGTGTTGTCAGAAAGAGTCACATTTAGGGGAAGAGAAGGTCATTGAGGTTAGCAGGCGAAGGCACCCAGTACAGATAGTAAAAGTTAAGTCTAGGAAGTATTTATTATGCAAATAGCCTCATTTCTAGCGTAATCCCCCAGAACTCTTAGGAAGTAGGGTTCATCACCAGGGAAGCCCAGTTCATAGGGCCAGCACTGCAAGCAAAGTTTGCAATTTATTCCTGGAAATCACTTGACACGAGTTCCCTTTTCCTTTGCTGATTCTAGGTTTATAAAACAGGATGATTCCCATTGTATTTTCTGCACTTAGAATTTCGCTCAGCTTGTCAGCAAAACGACACTTGGTCCCCTTCCCACAGGCTGTTACCCTCATGCCTAATCCAGCATCAGCCAAACTTACCCGGAAGATATAAGGGACTGTTCTCTTGTCCGTGGACTTGAGCGCTATGAATGCTATGCTGTCATACAGGGATGTGTGGCTTAGGACGCAGGGCCCAAAGATGGCATTCTCGGGGATGTCACAGGTGGTGTAGACGCTGGTAAAAATATCTGTCAGACACTGCTGCACGGCCTTGGCATCGCCATCCCAGAGGCCTCGCTGGATGCCCGAATCCTCCATCACTGAAGACAGACAGAACGATGGTGATGCCAGTTACACAGCTCGTTTTTGCTTCTGCAAATCTAGGCAGAGCATGTTTAACTACTAAACAGATTTCTCTTGGATTTGCCTGAGTTTTTTTTTTTTTTGCACAGCTCTATTTCAGAAATAAAGTCAGTGGCAGATTAAATTGACGTATTCTGAGGATGCCAACCAAAGAATACTTTTTTTCGTTTTTTTCTGCTCTTAACAGTAGGAATGCTGGAGTTCTCAGTGGACTGCTTGAGAGGAAAAAGACGATCACTTCAATTCGAATCATCTTGGGGGAGGCTGAGCAGGACTGGGCAGGGAGAAATCCTTGGATGGTTTCTATACTAACTCACGGACTTTCCTGACTCAAGGAAACTTCTAATCTTCTTGTGTATTTGGACAGGGTGCCTGGGAGCTGATTTTATGATGAATTTTTCTTCCAAAGAGGGGAGTAGCGTTAGCAAGCAGGCAGACACGTAGCGTGGCAAATGGATTTCAAGTATCACGGCCACTGACTCCTTGTCAGCCAACCTTTCTCTGCAGCTACAAGAGGGGACGGATGTCTGCTCATTACCATAATCCAACACTGTCCCTCTGAGGCTTTAATTAAAAGCAGCAAGCAGAGGTAATTATTTTTTTTCTCGACATGCTTATTTATGGATGAGGGAGAATCCCAGTTACCTTGTTATACAAGGGGGTGGATTGAATCTTATGTGTCTTATGCAGGGACCAGTTTACTGTGCAGATCTGAAGTGTCCCCGTCTGAAATACCGAGTGTGTAATGACTGGTGATTTCTGGCTTCCCCAAGACACAACCCTGTTTGGGCAAGAAGAGGGGGTCAATCTGCTCTGAGTAGACCTCGGTGGGCGCTCCAGCTGTTTAATCTGAAGCAATTTAGAAAGTAATGCCCCAATGGAGAACTTTCTATTAAGCTGTCATAAAAAGACATTTTCCTCCCGGAGTGGCTGGACTCCCACCATAGGACATCACTGAAAACCAACACTTAAATTTTAAACTGTCCTTGAAGGGACTGCACTGGTCACTCTTTTTTTTTTTTTTTTGGCCTGGTTAAAACACTCCCCCACGTTACCTTATCCTAATAGTATAAGGCCATGTGTATCTTATATACTTTAGGGAGTAGGCAATAGTAGACGTAGCTCTTTTTCTCTGAAGCTATTCATTATGGAGTGAAATTGGTAATGCTCATTTTTTAATCTCAGTATCTATTAACCAATTAATCCTGCAAATACGATTACAAGGTAGTGCTTTCCTCCCCTTTTAGCTAACCGAGCATGAAACTTCAGTGAGCCTGTCTGCCCATTGAGTAGATGTACTCCACGCCCTACACAGCAACTATCTTGCCAGGCAGAAAGAAGCGAGAATACTACTAAGCAGAACTTAGTTTATTAGCCTGTGTCCCTGAACATTTGGTAGCCTCCTGCCCCACCAGCCGACGTTCGAATATCCCATTTCAAGTGTGAATACATTTCAAAACAGCAACAAAACCTCCAGAACCTCTTCTTTTCAACGCATGCTCTCCGCTCCTTTCAATTTCCTCAATTCGGGCCCCAATTTCTCTCCTCCTTTAACAAAAAAAAAAAAAGTCTCTTTCACACAAGCGGTTCATTGTGCCAGGAGGTCGCCCCGTCCGTTCGTGGCAACGGCGGGGACGCAATCATTAAAATGCAGTTCTACCTAACAATACGGTGAAAAGATCCTCGCTACGCCGCGCTAATCGGGTCCGCGTCGCCGCGGCGGCCGCCACGAGCCTCGAGCCCATCACAATAAGCGTCGGGCAGAGCCTGGGCCCGAGCCTCGGCGCGCCGCGGGCACTGCTGCCAGCCCCGGGCGGCCCCGGGTGCCCCCCGCAGGCCCCGGCTCCGACCCGCGGCCGCTGGGGGTGGCGCAAAGCCCGTCGCGGCGGCCGCGATCGCCCGGGCCAGTCTCAGGCATTGTCTGGCGGCCGCGCGCTGCCCAGCGCCGCCCGCTCCTCCGGCAAAGTGCTCCTCCTCGGCCGCGCTTCCCTTTGTATACTCTGCCAGGCGCGGGGGTGGGGGTGGGGGGGGGAAGACCTCCACAACAGGGTCCACGCTCCAGACTGGCCCGCCTCCCATCCCCCTCCCGCGGCCGTGCAAGTCGACTCACCAGGAATAAGGTCAGAAGCCGCTGGGCCCCCAAAGGCCACCTTGAGCCCGGGAGGTGTGATGTAGGGGTGCTCCCGCTGATGCTCTCAGTGCCGGGCCATGGCTAAGAGGCTTGGATGAGGCTTCTCTGGCAGCCTCTGCCTAGAGAGAGAGGGAGGGATGCAGAGATGGAGAGATGGGGAGGAGAGAGGGAGAGTGAGAAGGAGAGAGAGAGAGAGAGAGAGAGAGAGAGAGAGAGAGAGAGAGAGAGAGAGAGAGAGAGAGAGGAGAGGAGCGCGGAGAGAGTTGTACAGATGGACCCGATGCAGTGACTGACTGGCACGCAGACACACACTTTTTGTTTGCTGCACATAATCTGCCCAATGACGCGTGACAGCCCACGTCCCCTCCTTTTAACTCTTTGCTGGGCTGGGCGCTCCCTCCGGCGGCGCCTGCCTCTCCACGCTCCCTGGCCCCTTCCCTCCTCCCCCCCACCTTCCACCCCAGTCCCTCCCGCCTCGCCCCAAAGCCTGGGCTCTGCGGGACTCTCAGGGAGGGGAACTGAGTTTCGGGGAACGAAAGAGAGGTACCCTAAGTACGGCAGGGGGCTGGGCGCTAGGGGCTTTCCCCACCGCGCGCGGCAGAGCAGACCACCCGGCACGCTCGGGGACCCCCACGCGCTTGCCCCGGACTCTCGGAGCTGCGCAGGGGAGGGGGGTGCGGATGAGCCCCGAGGGATTCTCTGGCTCGGAGCGGCCGCCGCTTTGCACAGCCTGTTGCCTGGGGGGGAGGGGTCGAGGATTGGGGGGGATGCCCCCGCGCCGGGTCGCACCCCGGACGCTCTCGCTAGCAAGACCCTCCCCGGGCACCGGCGTCTGCACTGATGCGCTGGGGTGCGAGCTGGGCTCTGTCGGGTCCCGGGCGCACACTGCGGAGCGCAGGAAGGACAGTGGAGAGGGGGCGCCGTCAGCTCCTAAGAGGGGCTTTCCGGGATGCGGGGGTCCCAGGACACCCCTACCGGGTCCAGGGGCAGGGGTGACCGGGAGCTGGAAACAGGGGCAAGGCCAGGTGCGGGGTTCAGGCGGCCGGCGGAGTCCCGGGGTTCCCCCCAAGGGGGTGAGGGTCGTGTTCTAAGATCTCAGGGTGGCGGGAATGGGCAAGGGGAGGGGTCATAACGGAGATGATTACCGAGGTGGGCTCGGGGAGCGTCTCTCGTCCGGCGAGAAGGCTGCAGGGAGACTGGAGTTGCCGTAGGTCCCCGGAGCCCGGTCTGCGCGCTCGGCCCGTCCCCTCGAGGGCAGCCGTCGGCGAGAACGACGTGCCGTCCGCAGAGGGCAACGAGTGGACATCTGCACCGGGGGGCTGCGGACAGTCTCCGCTGGGGGCGTCTCGCCACAGCTTCCCGGCTCCCGAGGGAAGGCGGGACTTGGGCAGCTGATGCCTCGGCCCGGCCCCCAGCCTCACCTCGTCGAGGAGGGCGACCTGCGAGCGCTGGGATCCGTCGGTGCGCGGTGGTCCGCCTGCAGAGTAGAATCACCGCAGACGGAGCCCACCTCGCTTCGGTCCAGCGTTGCGCTCAGGTAAGGCTGGCGTTTGAGACTAGGGAAGGGCGCAGACCGCGTGACTGATCTTCCAGCTGCTCTGACATCTCACGGTGCGGTGCGTAGGTGGGGGAGCCCGGGCATCGCGCCCCTCTATAGGCCAGAGTCACCGGGTCCAGCAGGCCGAGGAAGGATTTTGCTAAAGAGAAATTTAAAATTAAAAATAATAATAATAATAAGGAGAATGTCCCACTAAGTTTTCTCTTTTCCTCTCCGCACCTCTCTCTCCCTTTCGCTCCTCTCTTCCCTTCTCCCTCCTAATCCCTCCCTCCCTCTCCACTTCTCACCTTCCCAGTGAGGTCGACTCCCTCGTCTCTCTACAAGTCCCCAGATCTTAACACACTCTGCGCGACCCAAGAAGGCTGGGGGCTGGTGGAAGCAAGCTTGCAAAAACTACTAACTTTTTAGGAGAAAGCAGGGGTGGGGTAGGTGGGTAGAAGGTTAATTTAATTTCCAGATTAGCCACTAGAAAGTCTCTTAAACTTCAGTTACCTTTCATGTTAAGCAATGCTTTTATGCATGCTTGTACAATTTTAATAGTTTGGCTCAGGAAGACTCATGTAATGAAAGCTCAGCCTCTCACTCGTGTGTATATTAAAACTGGTCACTGTGTTTAGTCACGGTTTGTTTAATAACTGACTGGCTCTATGTGTCTGTTTATCTATCCAGGTAGCTGTCACCTATCCACCCATTCATCTTTATCTGACACCACATCCAATCACTAAAAAAATAAAACAAAAAAAAAATAAAGGAGGGGTGTGTGTGTATTGGGCGAAGTGCGATTAGAAATTGTGAAAATTGTCTCAAATGTCTGGATTCACCAGGCTCAGTAATAGTAACCAAACATTTAAGTAATTTTGAGAAGAGACTCCTTTTGCTTTAATTATAGGAATCTTCTCTCTCCCAGGAAAAGGCATGTGCCCATGAAAACACTTTTGAAAAATCCTTCTCATTTTTTTATTTATCTATTCCTGAATGTAGGCATTTAGAAAACTTTGAACTCTAACTGGAATTTTTAATTTTCCCTGGTCTTTTTCTTTCTTAAATATAAGTTGCACTTAGGCTGTGTCTCCTTTGAGATTCTACTTTATATATACACATATGTTTAATGTTTCTGAATTTATGGGGGGAGGGGAAAGGGGCTGAACCTGACCTTCCTAGTCTCAAGCTAGCAAACAGTTAATAAACTTTACATCACAGAGGGGAGAGATGTATGAGGAGTCTGGCTATCAGATAATATTTCCTCTGTTTCACTTTTATGTTCTCTAATTAGATCCCTCCCCCACTGATTTCCAATAAAAGTTCCTAATTAAAAATTTTATTAAAATTTATGAATCTAACCAACTCTTTGTCTTCCAGATTAAAATACTGACATAACAAAAAATATGAAGATGATTAAACTTAAAAATTCCTCTTTGGAAGGTTTTCTAGTATTTTGTGGTACATATTTTGATTGAAAATATAATAACCATTAGTAGGAGGTAAAGAAAACCCATACATCAATTTATCTAGAAGTGTAGGGACTACAATGGTACATAAACTAATCTGAAATCACTCTACATTATTACTTACTAGAATTCATAGATACAAAATGTAGGGGTGAAACATTTATTCAGCTTCAGACGGTACTATAAAAACGAACCTTAGCCAATATTTGTATCTAATCCACATGGAACAATGAGTTCATGCATATTTTTATTTTGTTGCTCTCTTTCCCTGAATTTTATTTCCAATCAAATGATTGAAGGGGTTGGAGGAACAGCAATGAAGAGTGAGTATATTCGCCTTGCTCCATTTTAGAAAGGCTCTTGCAGTAGCAATAAAAATACACATTTAGACACCTGCATCCTTGTTTGGAAGGGAAGACTGCAGGAAAAGTGATGGATCATCCTTAGTATGATGCTACTTAGGACTTAGGTGAGGAGGTGGAGAAAGAAAGGAAATCTGATTCTTAGAGAGTATTAAAGTGAATAATGCCATTCCTAGTCCCCAGATAGAGAAATCAGGCTCAAAATATCTCAGCTTTCAGGATAGGAGGCAAGTGAAGCCTCTAAGAATACATGTCAAGAATTAGTAGCTGTAAAATGGCAACACATAGGTTTTTGCTTCTCTCTCCCTTTCTAGGTCCCAGATCATTCACTCTAATCTTATTTTCTAAGCATTACTACAGAAAAGTCTTAGCTTTTAAAAAGACAGTTATCAACTGCAGAAAGAAAAAAATGCACAAGAAGTCAAGAGGATTAATTTTCCACAGGGAGGTCTCTTGAAGGAACTGTGAAGTTTGGAGGAGACAGCATAGAACCTCAAGGGGTATTACCTCATCATGGAGAATAAGGAAATTTCTAAGGAGGATAAACTTGCCTACTTGTACATGAAAAACAAACCATAATTGTACATAAGTCTGGGGGCAACATTAGTGACAAACATGTCCTTCAGAAAGCTGTTAGCTCATTTCCTACCCCAACGCCTTTAGAGGGAGATTAATAACTGTGGCATTAAGAAAAGAACAAGAGGTTATCTATTTGATACTCTATTTTCACATGCTGGTGAATTAATATGGTTCACACTAGATAAAAGTTTACAAGGAAAGGTTGGGAAACACTTTATACAAAGACAAACGTGAAATCTCAGTTGGGTCTGTTCCCTTGCTGAGGAATGAATGTTGCCCAGGCTGTTCCCGGGAAAAACTAAGGAATGAATAGCACCAAGGAGGCAGGACTCCAGGTTACCAACTGCAGAGATCATTACTCCTGGCTCCTGGTTTCCCCTCTCTGGCTCTTCTTCTTACTCCACAAATGGTAGTTGATTTTTCTTGCTGCTGTTGTTGCTACTAATATTTCTGCTGTTGTTGCTTCTGGCTATTGCCACTTCTACTACTGCAGCAGTGATGATGAGAGTCAAACTATCACACACTTAAAACATTCTCTCAGGGCAGTCGCAAGTCCCATTTTCCCGTCTGTTGGAGCTCAGCTGAAAGTTGAATAGTCTTGGAAAGATTTGTGTAGTTCTTTTCCTCTCTTGGGATCTAGGTTGTAATCTACTGGCTTCATGGCTTCTGAGCATGACTTCTATGAGGGCAAGAAAAATGAGGCGACACAGAAGACAACTACCATGAACCTGAAATCAATGCCTCGTGCTCACAGTGGAAGTCTTAGAGTGAACATGGTCCAATATCCAGCACCTTGACTCCCTACTGTAGTTTTGCAACATGTATACCTGGCTCTGCTTTTCTATCTAGTCACCTGAGTTCAAGAGAGTTGGCAGAGTCTCTGGAATATTCTGATTTTTCTGTCAAAACCACAGACTGAAAAATCATTCTGACTCAAACCACAGACTTTGATTAGATTTCAGCAGGAATTGATTTGGTTTAAGGAAGCAAGGCCCTGGTGGTCAGCCACGCGGGTTTCTCATTCTGGGGGCCAGGATTTTCAGGCCAAATGGAGAGCAAGTCTTCTAGCAATCTCGAACAGGAAGGAGTATCGGATTTTGAGAACATTCTGTTGGAATATCACCAGGTTGAGTGACTCAACAGTAAACCTCTCCACACAGCTGG